CATTTCTGTAACTTTCTGAAACAAACAACAGGAAACTGTCTGAAAGTGTCCACTTGTATCTCCGTAATTAATAGATATTGCATCTGGCCCATGTGGCCATTGTGAACAGCCACAACCACTTTTAATTGTGTTTGAGCATAACCTGAGCTCGGTATACTCATTTCTTTGAGATATGTACCTTTGAGCTGCTTCAGGCATGTGCTCCTTGGATGTACTTCTGCTAAAAGCACCCACTTGGTCTAGGTCACTTTGACTTTGGAGCTCCAGGTCTTTATGAAACCTTTTTTTGTGTGTCAGTGTGATTGATACTGACATCATTTCTGCTATTCAGAGCTCCACCAATCATAGGCTACCTGCCTTTCGAGGTTCTGGGAACATCAGGGTATGACTATTACCATGTGGACGACCTAGAGACACTAGCCAAGTGCCACGAACACTGTAAGGACTTGGATTTACTCACTTTTATTTAGAAATTTTTGTTAAACCCATGTTGGTTCTTACAGCTCTGGTTACTATTTGCTTCTGTCTCTGCTGTGTTCAGTGATGCAGTACGGCAAAGGGAAGTCTTGCTACTACAGATTCCTGACTAAAGGTCAACAGTGGATTTGGCTGCAGACGCACTACTACATCACCTATCACCAGTGGAACTCTCGGCCTGAGTTTATTGTTTGCACACACACAGTAGTCAGGTACTGCTGAACGCTGTCTCCTTTTTACTTTTTTCTCTGTATCTTTTACTGATGCTGCATTTGTCAGGAAGTTTTTTGTTCTGTTCACTGGAAATTTCCAGACCATTAAATAAAAATCTTTTCATTGTAACTTCTATGATCTGTTTACTTTTGGCAAAGCATTTCAAAATTGTCTTCACATTTCTCATGCGCATCGTTTTCTTGCTCCTTATCTGTTTATCGCTAACCCTCCATTCTTGTCCACCATGCAGCTATGCCGAGGTGAGGGCAGAGCAGCGCAGAGAGCTGGGTATTGAGGAATCTAACCCAGAGGTCACTGTGGATAAGGTGAGAAATTACTACTAGAATTTGTCTATACCCATCTGTTGTTGTAAATGCATAATTAGTAAATTTGTTGTTTAAGCCTGATTAAGAGGCAAAACTGAATTATCAGTGGTATCACTGAATTTCATTCATTAAAATTCTTTACTGACAATATATTGCACATATAACAATATATTCAGCCTAATAAGGAGCCATTGTATTATTAGATAGGACAAAAACTTCGTTTGAAGCTCTGTCATTCAACAGGAAGTCAAAGGCCTGTTTTCTGAACTTGTTACTTCTTAACCTCTGTCACTGTAGTTAGCTTGTTGTTGTCAGTGAGTATACCGGTGATCTATCTGTACTGTGTCTGTAGATGTTAAAAGTTTGGCTATCTAGCTTGTTTTTCCCCTGTGCTTTTCTGTTTCTAGAGTCAGGATTCTGGGTCAGAGTCACAGCTGAACACGGCCAGCCTCAAGGAGGCTTTGGAGCGATTTGACCACAGCCGAACACCCTCAACCTCCTCACGGAGTTCCCGAAAGTCCTCATCACACGTCTCTGACAATACTTGCACTTGTAAGGACACACATCCACAGTTGCATGTACAGTACATACCTAATGTTTATTAGATATAGTTTGACATATACTCTAAAGAGGAGTCAGTGACACATCAGTTCTAGTTGGATGATGAAGCCCTGAAGCAAGACAATATGATGTTGTCTGCGGTGTCATCAGTTATTCTGTCTCTGCAGCAGCCTCCAAGCTACATATGGACACGGCCACACCTCCTCGGCAGTCGCTGGCCTCCACCATGGATATGACATCACAACGTCGTTCGTCTGTCAGCAGCCAGGTGAGACAATGTCTTTCTACTTTTACAGAAACTGAATTTTGTGACCATAAGATGGGACTTAACTCTCAGAATGCTGTTTTATAGTGCATTGGAGTTTCATGCACTTCAGTTGTCACAATTTTCTTGGTTATCTGCATATTTGCAGTCTATGAGCTCGCAGACTACAGGCCAGAGTGCGACTCCAGGCATGATCACTCAGCAGCAACAGCAGCAGCAGCAGCAGCAACAAGCACAGCAGCTCCAGACAAACATACAGGTGAAATTTCAGGTGGTGCTCACTTGGACATCTCACATCTCATTATAAAGTGTTAGAGTAGAACTGAAAGGATTTGTCGATTTAATTGCTCAGCTGATCAACAAAAAATAAGCTGTAACAACTTTTACAATAGATTACTTGTCGTGTTTTTCCATAAAAACACCAGCGATTCAGCAGTTCCAGGTACTAATGAGTTAATAATGCTTTTTGTGCCTCAGCGCTGACAATAGCCAGATGCATTATATTTTCGGGTTGCCTGACCCATTGTTGGGAACAGTATATCACTGGAACTGCTTGAGGGAACTTCTTTAAATTTGGCAAAACATCCACTTGGATTCAAGGATAAACTGGTATGACTTTGGTGCTTAACAAATTCACAGTGACCTTGCGCCTGTTCCATTCATGTGAATTTTACTATTTGGAGGAGACATACAACTGTGATGCAGTAATAGAATACTATGACAACAAAGTGTAGGGTCTGCATTGTTAGTTGAACAGAAAAAAACACTGGAAGATATCACAATGCATTCAGGGAAGCTGATATACATTGTTCACTATTTTTTGACATTTTATAGACCAAATGACAAATCAATTAATGGAGCAAATAACAGACTAATAAAGCATAAACATCATCATTAGGTGCAAGCCTGCAGTGGAGTTTGTGATGTTCATTTGCCAACATTACTGCAACTGCATACACACAATTTAGTAACACTAAATAAGTGATGTGGTCTTTCTCTTTCCACCCACAGCCGGTGATGGAGTTCTCAGCGCAGATGAATGCCATGCAGCACTTAAAGGAGCAGCTGGAGCAGAGGACCAGAATGATCCAGGCCAACATCCAGCGGCAGCAGGAGGAGCTGAGACACATCCAGGAGCAGTTGCAGAGAGTCCAGGGACAGGGCTTACAGGTGGCAATAGCATTTTAATATGTAACCTTTTCTTCTTTTCCCCTCTCTTGGTCTTCCTTAGTTTTACTTAAGGTTGGGCTGAAGAAAGAATGTATTGATTAAAGGCTATATCTGATTTTACAAAAGCAGATAATGTACAGAACTTGATGACAAAAGAAAATTTGTTTACTGAAAAGCTCTTTTTAAACAAACATGATCGCACACTTACCTTTTTAGAAAGTCAGTCCACAGCCTAGCAGCAGCATTTAGGTTTCTCCCCACTGTGTTTTCCAAATTAGGCTGAAACTAGCACAAAATCTCGCTCTTTAAAAAGGATCAATCAGTGTTTTTTCTGTTCCTATTGTGCTGTATGTTGTACCTGGCTTTTCCTGGCCTAGATCAAGACTAGAATTATGCATTATGTATTATTTTGTTCTGTTCAGAAGAAATAGGAATAGAAGACAGGTTGACTACCTGCATGTGTACCATGTAAAGACATTTTGTCTCAGTAAGTTCAGTTATTTGAATAATAAATACATGTTTATGTATGTGAATAACTGTGTGCACTGTAAATCTAGACCGCACTGCCTGACTATTGGATTTTCCATCCCGACAGATGTTGCTGCAGCAGCAGGGTGGAGCAGTGAACATTCAGCTCCCTCAGGTGGGGTCAGTCCAGCAAACAACTACATTGAGTAGTCAGGCCCAGCAAGCAACAGTCAACACTCTCCAATCAGGAACTCAGCAGCTCACCATCCAGCAGCAGGCTCCTCCCACTCAGCAGAGCCTGCAGCAGCAGACCAACACCCTCACACAGGTGAGACACACACACACACACACACACACACACACCATTGGTACAACAGTAATTATGTACTGGTAGCTGAGATCAGTAGTTTATGTGAACATGTGACACTACTGGGTAACATTTATGTGAATAATTTCTCAAACTACACAAACACAGTGCTGTTCTGTGAAACTGTTATGATTATGTAACATTTAGATGGAAGGAAGAGCCACAGGGAGAAGAGTTTTATCATGTGAGTGACTTCAGCGAACACTCAGTAGTAATAAAGTACTGTACAACACCCACCTGTTATATTTACAGTTGGTTAGACACATCCTCCATACTCTGTTATTACATGAAATGATAATCTCAAATGTGTTCAAATTTGTTAATACCAACATAAAATAAAATTGGGGTAAAACTGGAGAAAACTTCAGTCAGTTTTTAAAAAAAAAAAAAAAAAAAGTCACGTCCCCATCCCCTGCCCACTTTGCTGCTCTCCAGCCCCAGCGTCAGGCCCAGCAACCCCCCCAGGCTCAGCCACAGACACAGGGCTCTGTACCTGCCTCACTGTACAACACCATGATGATTTCTCAGCCAGGGCAGCCAAACGTGCTGCAAATCAGCACCAGCCTGCCACAGAACAACACACAGCAAGGCACAGCCGTGGCCACCTTCACACAGGACCGACAGATCCGGTAAGAAGACGAAAACCAAACCTAATACTTAAGAGAATTTTTGCTCCTTAACGACCAGAAGTCCCATCTGAAAACCAAGCTGTTTAATAAAAATAATAATAATAGGCACTGAAATGTTTCTTTTCATTTTCTTTATTCCACCTTTTCTCTGCTTTACTCTCCAGGTTCCCAGCGGGGCAGCAGCTGGTGACAAAGCTTGTGACAGCACCAATGGCATGTGGCGCGGTCATGGTGCCCACCTCCATGTTCATGGGTCAGGTTGTCACCGCGTACAACCCCTTTGGTGGGCAACAGGTAAGGATGAAGTCCCGTGACTCTTAGAAAACTAATGAAACTGTCTCAGTTTAAGATCTGGAATGAGCACTGCTTTGTGCACTTTTCTGATCATGTGTGAGGCACATAACATGCTTTTTACAGCTTGGCATTAGTGGGTGTGATGAAAAGATGATAATGCAAAGTCACTGTCAATCATATACATAGAATAGTAGTAGAAGTTTGGAATGAGATTAGATGTCATTTCCAAGTTGTTAAGAATTTGTAAAGATTTAAGTTATTGTTGTTTGAAGTTGCTTTAACTTTTGAGCGTCGGCCTCTCATTCAAACATCGATACAAGCCAGAAATGGCTCCATAAACACCAAAACCATATTTCCCATCAGCTCAGTAGTCTTTGATAAAACGCTCCTTTGGAGCCCCAGCACATTAGCACCAGTTCTCCTCTTTGATCATGAGTTACTGGACGTACTACAGCCTACAGTTTGCTAGCTAACTATGTCCTCACTTTGCAGATGCATCTTTCATGTTCTCCCTTAGTACATCCATGATGAGAACATGCGATACATTTCTGTAGTTTGTGTCTTCCCATGACACACCCCCAGTGTATTCAGAGCAGAGTATACTCCTTATTTTTATTATTTTGAAAGCTGACTTTATATACTTGGCAATCTTTTTAATCACTCAGATTTGTTTGGGTGAGTAACAGCACTTCTTGCTGCAGTGTGACAAACTCATTTATTTCCACTTTGCCCTGACTTTAAACTATCTTCCATAGAGAGCTCATAATGAGTTGTAGAGGTGATGCTAATTAAGCCTATTGTGAAGAATTTCTCTTCAAGCAACAACCAACCTACAAAATCAAATCTTTCTTTTTTACTAAGTTTTATGTGTGGGTGTGTGTGTGCGTGCTTTTTGTTTGTTTTGTTTTAACTCCTGTGTCACTTCAGCAGGGAGGGCAGACCCAGACCCTGACTCTTCAACCTGCCCAGCCGCCCCAAGGTCAGCCTGATGGTCAGAACCAGACAGCTGTAGTGGCCCAGAGTGGCCAGCAGGGGCAGCAGCAGCAACAACAGCAATTCCTACAGGTACCAATAGAGGGCAGCAAATGTTACTGATCTTGAAGACATGACAGTGTTGTGCATGTTTTGTTTGTTTTTGCTGATAGCTGGGTCCTATTGCACAAAACTAGGATAAGGGATTAAGCCGGAATATCTTGGTGATCCTGGCTCAATTTATCCGTGATCTGGTTGCACTAAAGCTGGATTAGATGGCGGCAGGATGTTATGGTATAAATTACCATGGAGATTTATTCTGTGGAGCTAGCCTGCTCCAGACCAGGCTAAGTTCCAGGATTTATTTTATCTCATCCCTCATGTCAGTCAGCAGTCACCACAAACGGAAACCAATAGTTATTTCACTGCACACTATACATTGTTATCACATATAATTAGACCCACTGTCATTGTTTAAACGTTTGTGATCATTAATTTCAATCATTTTGGATAAATGATGACTTTTAGATGATGTTGCTATCATTAGATAATTTACAGTTTCCCATAGACTATAAGGCTATATATAAAATGATAGAATATTAGGGCCACAGAGGGAAAAAAAGAAAATTCACAGACTTCGATAATGAAGTCTTTAATAATATTGTAACCCGTTGTTTTAGAGGAGGACAGTTGTTAAAATGACAGCTGTGGGGCATTTCGTGGAATTGTTCTTCAGTCCGCAGGACATATTTAACCAAAATTGAAAGCACATATACTAACTAAAATAATTCAACACATATTGGTCCCTCAGCAGCCGACCACTGTCGCCATCAGGGAAGATGGCTGGATTGTCCCAGTCCATGGCTGGTGGCACTCTGGGGGCCCTCTCCTTCCTCAGGCAGGCCACATTGTGGAGGACAGCCCAAG